TTCCTTAAAATATGTAGCTGCGGGTTTACTCCTGGTTTGCCCACTTTTAATTACACCTATTATTTATTAGTAACGAAAACAAAAAAGACAAAAGTTTTAATGAGTACACAATTATATAGTCTGTTCCAACTTAGGTATATAGTTTATCAGTGTTTTCTATATATATTCAGGTATTTTTTATTTTGTAATTCCATTTTCATAAATGTATAGATAAATTATAAATAAATTATATTTTTTTTCTCTCAATAATTTAACATACATGTAAAACAATGGCACTAGCCTGTTTTAAAAGTAATATAAAGTATATTAAAAAATAACTAAACAAATTTCGTGCGCAGGATTTTGGGGCCACTGAAGGCCCGAAGAAGCTATAGAAAAATGTATGCAAAATCATGCATTCTGCGCATTTCCCAGAACCTTTCTTGATCAAAAATGCAAGTTCTGTTTTTATTACTTTTTGACAATATTTTGGTCTCAAGGTAAAATATATAGTTTCAGTGTAAGACTTTTAGTTTTTAGGGACATCAAAACACCAATATGTATGGATGTGGTTGATATTTTTTTTTTAAGAAAAAAAAATCCTTAAAAAAAATAAAAGTCAAGTTAAATTTTTTTTACAAAATTACAAATGGAAAGCGAAAGAGAATAAAGTAAATGTTCCTGAGACAATATACCTAAGTTAAATGAAACCCATTTTCAGACATTTAATTCAAGTAAATTAATATTTATACATTATATTATTTAAAGATTTGGGAAGTTTTTCCCTAAAAAAATGAAAAAAAGACGAATTTTGGACGAATCAGGTGCCATCTCATACTTTAGAATAGCATTTATAAAATGGCTTAAAAGACCTGCCAAGTTATTTATTTTCAATACATTTTAAGTCAGTTAAACTTTATTTATTTTCAAACTACTACAGGACAAACGATTATGTTTTTCTTATTATCAAGGCTGAGTTATTTATTTTCAAAATCCTCCCCCCCCCCCCCCCTACAATATCCAATGGTCGTCACCTAATATATGAATCAAGTTTATAAATGCATTGCATAAGGAAATAAATAGAGCACTATTGTAAAATAACAATCTGTTGGTTTTTTTTTTTAAATTATTTCATTTGTAAAGCTTGGCTACTGAACAGTTGCATTTTTATTCTATTTGTTAGTATTTATTGTCAAATTCAATACATTTTCCTGATAAAAACTATATTAAAACTTTTGAACATTTTCATTGATTTAATAGCAGAATATGGTATTTGATAAAATTTTACAGGTAAAATAAAAGGTAAAAAATATGACTATAATTCAGAAATAAACTATAATTGTTAAAACAACAATCCACCCTATGTTTACATATGCATGTAATTAAAAGTGGGCAAACCAGGATGACACCGTAGCTGCGATACCCGTGCTCATCGGTGACACATATATCGATTCGTATCAAGTAACACCCTGACGACAATCAAATTATGATGGCGATAGTTAAACTGTCTAAGATAAGATAAGATAAGATGAGATAATCTTTATTTCAGACTCAAAAGGTCCATATATATATACATGAAACAAAATATTCTGTTTAAACAGAACTTACAATGTTAAAATATTTACAGTATTAACTATAATTAAAAATTTAGAAATAACTCATTGTACCATACTCTTAATTATGTTGAAGAATACAATAAATCGCTTCTGAGAATTGTATTAACCAACTGATTTTCAGATAATTTTAAGCGATTTAACAAACTAGACATTGACTTTCGCATAACTTCCTTGAAAGACATAACTTCATTTTCGACAAACATATTACTTGCACTACATCTGCATTGAGATCCCATTATTATTCTGAAAGCATTATTATACATTACACGCATTTTATTTAAAGAGGCAGACTTACATTTAGGCCATAAAGATACACAATAGACATTCATACAATAAGACCGAAAAAGTTGAATCTTCACACTCGTAGAACATTTGTTAAATTTTCGATTCAGCATATCAACTTTCCTGCATATACTTTGATATTGTCTCTTTATGTCACAATCATCATTTAAATCATTACAAACCATATGTCCAAGATATTTACAGCTCTTCTATAAAAGCATGCAAAGCAAACCTTTGATCAACTTGCTTGCTATGTTTGTTTGGATGTTTGTAAACAAAAGGTAGGTAGTCTGTTTCAGTCTGTTTACTATATAATGGAATTTGATTGGACAATAAACATTAATTTCATTGCATGTCAATTTTTATTGTCCAATCAAATCCCAGTATATATAAAACAGACTAAAACGCCGCCTACCTATTGTTTGCAAACATCCAAGCAAACATAGCAAGCAAGTTGATCAAAGGTTTGCTTTGCATGCTTTTATAGAAGAGCTGTAAATTCATCAACAAATTATAATAAATTACCACATAAATAAAATTTGGGAACATTGTAAATCTTCATATACTTTGTTTTAAAAATCATACACATAGATTTTTTGACATTGAATACAATATCATTTTCAGAAGCAAATTCTTCACAAATAGATAAAAGTCTTCTAAACCCAGCAACTGATGGGCTTATTATACACATATCATCAGCATAAACAAAATTATTCATGGGAGTTTTATTTAAGTAACAACCAACATTAGCTTTTGCTAATCTGTTATTCAAGTCATTTAAATTTATATAAAAATTAAACAAGTAAGGTGATAAAACAATTGTAAATATCTGCTTCTACAAAAAAAGTATTTCTACATCAGCCGTATTGACTGGCTTCCGTGTTTCGGACTTCATGATTAATTTAATATGTTTGATTGTATCTTTCACTTCGGTTAAAACATGATGCCTGCGTATGACAAACTTTTTCAGACGTACATCCGAATCGTTCTCTAATTTTTAACTTTGGTGGTCGCTAGAATTGGTCGCTAATTTTATTCTGGTAAAACTCGGATTGAATTTCTAATAATGGTAATTACATAAATATAAACACGTATTTAAGCTTAACAAAACGCAGTTGACACAGTTGACTTGATGTCGATTTAATACGAGATAATAAAACTTTAATACAACTTGCAATTCATTCTATATACTACAAGCTGTCAGAACATGTTTTGTTAGCATATTAAACTGACCAAAATGGCCGCTGTAAGTAATTTCAACAGTATTCGACCTCTTCCACTAAAACTCCCCAACTCTATAAAACTTCCAAACAAAAGTTGAACAAATGGGGAAAAAAAGGTTCAGGTTTGTCAAGCTACGTTTAGGGTGCAAAAAGTATTATTCATTTTAAAAATTCACATCGGAAATACTATGATAATCTCCATTTCGTATTATTTCTGCCTTTTGTTTACAATTGGTTTGTCGTTGGTTATTTTCTATGGTGGTATGATTTGTTTTGTTACGTGTGCATGTGAGTTGTAGTCATCATTTGATGTCAGCTGTTGGACTGTCTTTCCTGACCTATTTCATTTTGAAGCCTTCTCTAATACACTGCTCCTGAACCATCACTAGGTTGTTTTATCTTGTTTCATACTAAAGACTTATATGACTGCAAATAATGAATAGAACATACGGGGTAAAATCAACCAAAATTCAATAAACTCAGAAAAATCTTACGAGGGGTTTCATTCCTGAAACCTCAATAGCCGCCTTTTTTGTCGATAAAAATACAATTTTGCAAAATAAACGGTTATCGTATTATGGCTATATATATATCCATGTAAAACTTATTTAATGTCTGAGTTAAAGCTAGTTATGAATCTTTGACATACAAGTTTCACGAAAATAACGATTTTTCAGTTTCGTTGTCAGTCTCATTTGGAGCGCTTTTTATATGAGTATTACTAATGATGAATTTAAATATGAACTTTCCAGTTGATATATTTCTGTAGAAATTTTCTCCTCTTTCTTCCATTTGTGTGAATATTGTGCTAATATTTATCATTTGTATTTTCCAATCCTATTTGTTTATGCACCAGATTTATACACTTTTAATCATGGATGTCGTCGGGCATTGAAAGAAATTGAAAACATTTTTCTGTCTGATTTGTTCCTTCCGTGCAAGTTATAAAATGTTTGTTATATGAGTTTTACGGTTTACTTATCTTGACTTACATGTTAGCTTTAATTTTGAGAGCTTTTCTTCTATTTCCAAAAATGATATTTAAGAGCGATGTTTTCCTTTCAGGGCTAAAATAATCAAAATACATATTCTGGTTATAAACAAAATATGGTACAATGTTATAAAATATTCAGCAATGGTATTGGGTTAAAGGGGCATAAGCTGCGAGATATAAAAAAGTAAAACATGATTTTGTTTTTGTTCAATCATTAATGAAAGTGAAATAGCGAAATAATGATTCGCTTTTAGCAGCCAGTTTAGTTCAATTTTGTCAAAATAAGATAAGGAACATCGCTGATGAAGTATTAACTTGCAAGTGAATAATTCGACCTCATTGAATCTGTATTCATGTGACCTTCATTAAACCCATTAGCTAGAGATTGGTTACGCATGTATTACTCGTGTCAAGCCATTTAAGGGAAAAGAATGTCAACATTGAAAGTGAAACAAAGGTGAACCATTTCGTTGAATGATTCGATCCACAAAATATCATTCTTATATAGGTAAAAACGATGATTAACTTTTTTTATAACCTATAACATGAAATCAAACAGACCTAGAAAATTTCAATTGCACGAGGTCGCTATCTATTTATATTTGTGTTTATGTTTATATCGGGTTATGTGACCGTCGTCAGTTTCCGGAGGTCATCTTGATGGTTAATTTGATGGCGTCTAGACTTAAATACACACAGAATGCTGACATATATTATCGAGTCCATGCATTGTTAATTGTTTATTTCAGACTTATTGTAATTTGGATATACGTTTTAGTATGTTATATATCAAATATGAGAATTTGAGTCAATTCGGTGAACATGAATTTGACAGCTAATGCCCCTTTAAGGAGTGTTATTGAAAATTTAGGCTCAAGTATATGCAAATCTAATATAAAACTAATAATGCGTATAGATAAAGTAATCTAGATGATACAGATGCATCACGATACTCAAGATATGACCGTTGATCAGATTTAATCAAATATGCCCGGTGAGCTATACCTAACACTAGGTAGAAGATTTTAGTTAAATTGTGGTGTATCTGCGACTTTTCCCAAATTTCAAAACTGAATCTATAAATAAAAAATTCTTACATATTGTTATTGTGCTCTTCTATTTTTTTTATTTTTTTTTAATCTAAATCAATTTTCACATTGAAAAACACATGGACCTTGTTATACCGATTAACAATGGGAAGAGGTGGGGTGTTAATTTAATTGCTAACTCTGCTAAGTTTTTTCAGTTTAAATTAGTATTGTTTTACTTGTACCTGTGTTTTTGTGCCGCCTCTAGTTCCGATATTATAGGTTTAAGTGCCTTAATTGAACCGATTTTTATTTTAGTTTCTTTCGTGTACTTTTTTTTAAATATCATTAATTGAGATTAAAAGTCAAAAGGGGATAGGGCTGAGTACTAAAAACTGGTGGTAAGAAACAATAATTACAATACATATATGTTTCACGAGAATCCGCTAGTTTGATTGGCTAGCAATAATCGCGCGTCATTCAAAAATTAACTTTTATATTAAAATGAAATGGTACATTCGTGATGACATGTGCTTCCACAAAAAAGTGCAAGGTAAATAAAAGAAAGACTTGATAAAATTTGTTTTTCATGGTCTTAGCATAAAAATGTAATTATAAGAAATGAATGCTTCTTTTAGTTATTTGATAGGGTTGTAAAAGTGTTGATCGTGCAAAATGTGCTTCGGTCAACACTTTTACACCCCAATAAAATTACAAAAAGAAGCATTCATTTCTTTAATAACAAACAAACAAAAAATAAGGAAATACGGTCATATGTCAGCCACCCAAAGACAAAAATAATATTAAATAATTTGAAGTCAACATACAGTCTTCGACAATTGACGGGTATATGGACAATATGTATATCTATATTCTGTGTTGGACTTTTCAAAGCTTTGTTGTATATCCAAAATGTTCGTTTATTTCAGGATTTTACACTCATGTACGGGTGACTTTTTTCTCTTCACAACATGCACATGGTATATAAGACTTATAGTATTCGCTGTAATCAGTTGAAAAATATATAATACATAATATAGGGATGATATTCACGAGATGCATGCCTTTCTTTAAATAAACACAATTTTTCATTTTGTTCCTTATACAAATAGTATTGATCAATGCAAATTAAAATTTTATCTTTAATTAACCCGTTATCGTCCTAGTTTCAACAAGAAGCTTTGCATTTGTTGCAGAATAGCCTAAAACTATATATTATCGCAATTTAAAAATAATTTACAATTTGAATTATTTTTTTTCTTCAATTTTACCTATAGCAATTTCTTAATACGTCGTACAAATATAGATGCATTAGTAACCATCTGCCGGTTGAGTCTGGGAGGTGGCAGGGTTTACAGAGAGTGGACAGTCTTCCGTCTCTATGACCCAAGCGACATTAGTGACGAGTACCATTACACCATGAATTGCAAAACCCTTGAGTTAGAAGAAAAAAGAAATTTTTACCACAGTACTGTTGGTCAAGTCCTAATATATATTTGATCAACTATTGAACTCAAATTATAAAAATTATGTAAATTTATCATAGTTATAAATGTGGAAGTCAGTCCTCCAAGTCAGCTTAATTGTAATGTTCTCACATATAAAAATAAGAAGATGTGGTATGATTGCCAATGAGACAACTCTCCACAAGAGACCAACTGACACAGAAATTAACAACTATAGGCCACCGTTCGGCCTTCAACAATGACTAAAACCCATACCGCATAGTCAGCTATAAAAGGCCCCGAAATGACAAATGTAAAACAATTCAAACGAGAAAACTAACGGCCTGATTTATGTACAAAATAATGAACGAAAAACAAATATGATATACAGCAACAAACGACAACCACTGAATTACAGGCTCCTAATTTGGGACAGGCACATACAGAATGTGGCGGGGTTAAACTAGTTTGAAGGCGCGGCAAACCTCACATGCATGTAATGATTGTACCTTAAGTTATGTCTATATATGTTCTCTATAACTATGTAATTTAACTTATAAAGATGAGTATAGAAAAATTACATTGGAACAGTAATATTGGATCTTTGACAAACATGAACGACAATTTGCAGGAACCCGGAAAAGTAGTAAGAATTCGTTCTTGGCCACGCATTTGAATCACACAAACTTACATTTTAATTTAACGAAACTAAGACAATAAGTGTTATCGTAACAAACGCTTCATATGTTAAAACAAGTTTTCCTTTATTTAGCCATATGGTCAAGGACCTCCACCTCAATATAATGTTGGACCAGGAAACACTGGACCTGGCATTGCACCACCTCCATTTGGCTATGGCGGTCAACAGAATGGTCCTGGCATTGCACCACCTCCTTTTGGTTACGGCGGTCAACAGAATGGTCCTGGCACAGCTCTACATCCTCCGGGCCATGGACCAGAATTTGCACCACCGCCATCTGGGTATGGTGGATATCCTCAGCCACCACAACAATATGGAGGTAAATGATCTTATTTTTATTCAGGATGTTTACTTCAAAGGAGAAGGTATGATAAGTCTATTTTTTTGCCCCTTGATTTCCAAAATCAAAAAGTATCATAAATGTATTAAATAAAATCCTTCAGATGTTCATGTATAAAACATTAGTCTGTCAGACATCAGTATATATAATATATATTTTTGTATTTTGTCTTGCATATTTGCATTAGGACTTCAAACTTAGTGTAAAACTGCATAAGCTGTCAAAATAGCCTAATTTTTATTGATTGGTTGATTGCTGATTGCTTAACGTACAGTTGGCCTCTTTTTTTAGATCTTGTCATTTATATTTAGAAATGAACAACAGCTTTACCCAAAAAGATATTTTGCTACAAGATATTTTTTACACAAATATCGATGTTAACGTGTTGCTCATATCTATGCAGCCCAAAACTATGTGTTAAATGGACATTTTACATGTTTATGACATCACAAGTAACATTACTGCACTAAAGTGTCCAGATTATATTCACCGGTTCATTTGTCAATAAAATTAAGATAATTTTGAAAGGCTTGAGTAATTTCTTTATTTTGCAAATTTAGGGGCCAAATAATGGCTCTTATCTTTTTGTTTTTTATATTTTTTTTTACCTTCTGCATTAACTGGAGTAAAATGCTATGATCAACGTCTAGCAGACATGACGCCTCTTTTAATGAGACAACGAGATCGTATACAAACGCATAAATTGTATAAACTCGGGTATTATCACTGTCAGCAAAATATATAAGTCTACTAAGGGTTATAAACTTGACGTGGTATGAATACATGTTTAAAACGTTTAAACCCGCTGCATTTGTTTCCACCTGTCCTAAGTCAGGAATCTGATGTTCAGTAGTTGTCGTTTGTTGATGTGGTTCATAAGTGTTTCTCGTTTCTCGTTTTTTATATAGATTAGACCGTTGGTTTTTCCCGTTTGAATGGTTTTACACTAGTAATTTTTGGGGCCCTTTATAGCTTACTGTTCGGTTTGAGCCAAGGCTCCGTGTTGAAGACCGTACTGTGACCTATAATGGTTTACTTTTATAAATTTTGACTTGGATGGAGAGTTGTCTCATTGGCACTCATACCACATCTTCTTATATCTATTTACGTTGTAAATTTAGGTTACCAACAGACACAGCAGAATACAGTTATTATTGCAGGACAACCAACCACTGTCATTCATCAACAAAAACGAGAAAGGTAACGTTTCATCATAAACTACAACTATTTTAAATGGGTTTATCGGGTGCGATGAGCGCCGACATTTACAAAAACTCTGTCATATCGAAGTATAATTACTGAAAACGCAAAAACACATGTTTTACTCATACCGCAGGTAAAAATGTCACAAAGCTGCATTATATCTGGCTATTTTACTGACCGCAGCTCAACAAAACTATAATATTCCTTTAGATTATTTATTTGATGCCATAGTTTTCCTCACACGAATTTGAATAAAAAAAGAGGCGAAAGATACCCAAGTGATATTCAAACTCATAAGACGAAAACAAACTGCACAATTTATAATGCATTTCTGTAATTCAATGTTTACTTATTTTGTGTTATATCTCGTCTCACTATTTTTAATATGTACCACCTTCGATAAGTATTTAGTAATTTTCACTTCTGTACTCGTACTCTAAACAACAAATTTATCAATTTTGTAAAAAATGTTTACTTCCGTACTCCTAACGACAAAATTATTATATTTAAATTTACCTGCATACGTTGTTTTATTTACCGCCATTTTGTCCCAGGTAAGAGTTGTCTTATTGACACTCTTACTACATTTTTTTTATTACTACCTGTAACGTATATGTTATATAGGCACCTACTTTTTAATATTGCATTTATATGGTGTCATAGATCAAACTTATTCGTTCAGTGTATGTTTACTTGTTTTTGTTTAAATGTCTTTTTGATCGAGTTAAGCCATTTCAATTGATATTTTATAGTGTGTCTTTTTATGTTGTAATGTTACACTACTGTCTCAGGTTATGGTGAAGGTTGGTGCCTGTTAAAACGTTTAAACTCGCTGCATTTGTATGCACCTGTCCTAAGTCAGGAGCCTGTTGTTCAGTGGTTGTCGTTTGTTGGTGTGGTTCATAGGTGTTTTTCGTTTCTCGTTTTTTATATAGATTAGACCGTTGGTTTTCCTGTTTGAATTGTTTTACACTAGTCATTTAGGGGCCCTTTGTAGCTTGCTGTTCGGTGTGAGCCAAGGCTCCGTGTTGAAGGCCGTACTTTGACCTATAATTGTTAACTTTTTACACATTGTGACTTGGATGGAGAGGAGTTGTCTCATTGACATTCATACCACATCTTCTTATTTATATTGACAATGCCATGGCAAAAAAACGAAAATCGACGAAAAGACAAGCATTCCACATAACACATCAAATAAAACTAAAGACTGAGCAACTCGAACCACACCAAAAACCGGGGGTGATCTCAGGTACTCCGGAAGGGTAAGCAGATCCTGCTCCTGATAATGTGAACGTAACTCATGAAAACTAGTTTACTGGAGATATTAACTCATTCATGTGATATTAATGGTGTAGAAATTGTTGTTTCTCCTTTTGAGGGATACAACTCCTTCTTATGTAATTTTGGAAGACACCACCTAGTCATAATCAGAAGCAGCTTTCAATTTAGTCGCTGTTAAAACGGTTTATCATCTACGATGAGTAGACGTTTAATATATGTACGTTCTAGAATTTGTAATCTCAAGTTAGAGTATCTCTGTATAGTAGTTACTTAGAACGACAACATTGTTGGCTGCTGTATCGGCTGGTAAAACATTGAACTCATTTTTTTTCCAGCTTAGTTTTCGAAAAAAAAAACCCGTTTAAAAAAATTGGTTTATTAGAGTTAGTTTCGAAATATTTCATACGATAATCAACAAGGTCATTGCAATTTGTATAAGAATCAGATAAGTAGTTAACTTAATACACGAATGGATTATTGGAATTACCAAAAATATTGGACAGTACATTAGACAACATCAACGAACAATAACAGACTCTGCCGAGAAAATAGACGAAACAAAGACATACAATAATGAAACAATATATGGTCCAATTTATAGCTCGACAAGTACAGATTAATGTTATGAGGTTTACAAGAAAAGAAACAACATATGGTCCAAATAGCCTGACTTAGTACAGATAAATGTTATGAAGTTTAACAGAAAAGAAAGGATATAGTATATCAATTAATGACACAAAATGATCACTACATGCACATAAACAAACTAAAAGGAAAGAAATGGGGCTTTTATTACTTTTCTGTAAAAATCTTCAACAGCTGTATATCATTAATTGGTTAAAATTTTGATATATTATCACAAATATAGAAATTTATTGCGCAAGTATGATTCCACATGTAGGAATTTGATAAACAGTGTTATTTCATATCCAGCTTATTGTGATAATATTGTTTTTTAATCTAACACATTAAGGAATTGGCCTTCAAATCTGTCTGCTTACTTAATAGACTTGATCATTGTTGAGTTGTTGTCTCGGCATTGACGCATACCACACATCGACTTTTTTCAAATTCATCTCAAAGCCCTAATGGTATCATCGACATAAAGAAGAAAAATTAAGTGGCAATATGCCACTTAGGTTTCCAGTAAACCGTTTTGGAAGTCTCAATAAACTTTTCCGAAACTCTTTGCCTTATCTAAATTAAACTTGACAGGAAACATGCATGTAAGGTCTGTCGTATACATCCTGCATTCTACCACCTACGAATTACAACAAGCTACGGTCTTTTCAAACATTCAATTATTTATTTTTGTATGAATGTTCATTGGATGTCATAGAAGGTGGGAGTGATATGACTCTATTGGAAATCATAATTTGACTTTCTTCTTTGCATTATGAATTAAATGTGGATTTACATGAGAGCTACATTTTTTTTAGCCTTATAATTATTTTTTCTTCTACAGATTTGCCGATAATATTTGCATCAACCTGGTTTTAATTATCTTCTTCCCATTTTGGATTTTCGTCTGGATATGTTTGGTGAGTTTTTACAAAGCATTTAATAAAACCAACAATGAGCCGATAACAACAGAAAAAAGAAACTATTCTTGTGATTCTGTAAACATACTTGTTAAATATTCTATGGAACTACAATCATTTTAAATGATGTCTGGTCTGGTTAGAAAAAAAAGTTGAAAGAAGGAATATTTACAAAAAATATTCATCCGGTAAAAGACTTGCCGTACGATGACTTATATTTGCTAACGTTGTACGCCATTTGGTCTCTGGTTGAGAGTTGGCTCATTGGCAATCATATACCACATCCTCTTATTACTGACGCAGTATTTTATATTAACATTTTTTTCACAATTATCAGTAAAGATAGTCTCAATAATTGCGCATATATGGTAGTTCTTTCGATTTATTCACATTCAATTCATATGTTCAAATATCCAGATATCCTCCGTTTGAAATTGTTTTTCTAAGTGATCTTATCTAAATAGACCCGAGTGTTTATCTTTGCTGCATGTCATATACGTAACCTTTTACCGGCTATCGGAACTGTATGTCATACACATAACCATTTACCGACTATCGGCACAGCAGGTCATACACATAACCTTTTACCGGCTATCGGTTCTGCAGGTCATACACATAACCTTTTACCGGCTATCGGTACTGCAGGTCATACACACAACCATTTTCCTGCTATCGGTTTTGCAGGTCATACACATAACCTTTTACCGACTCTTGGTACTGCATGTCATATACACAACCTTTTACCGGTTATCGGTACTGCATGTCATACACACAACCTTTTACCGGCTATATGTACTGCATGTCATACACACAACCTTTTATCGGCCATCGGTTCTGTATGTCATACACACATTTTACCGGCTATCGATTCTGCATGTCATACACACAACCTTTTACCGGCTATCGGTACTGTATGTCATACACATAATCTTTTACCGGCTATCGGTACTGCATGTCATATACACAACATTATACCGGAAATCGGTACTGCAGGTCATACAGACAACCTTTTACCGGCTATCGGTTCTGCAGGTCATACACACACCCTTTATCCGGCTAACTGTACTGCAGGTCATACACACACCCTATATCCGGCTATCAGTACTGCAGGTCATACAAACACTCTATTACCGGCTATCGGTACTGCAGGTCATGAACACAACCTTTTACCGGCTATCGATACTGCAAGATGTAACAGAGAACAAAATTTGCTGTACAAGATTGCAAAGTCTATTGTATTGCAATGGCAATCGGAACAGCAAGAAAAAAAAACATCTGCTGAACACAGTAGCAAAACTAATTGTTTTAATGAAAATCGGAAAAACATATCCTATTTTGTCTGTCGTAATGATAACCAATAATAGGATGTATTACCGTATTTTTAGTAATGTTTTCTTAACTTATCCTTTCTACCAACGTACATTTATAGAGTGCTGGTATTTAGTACAGACCATTCTTCTATTGCGAGGGGATTGGTTTTTTTTATCTGGACAAAACTTTATTTTTCAACTCTTTAAAAAAAATAACTATTCTCTTTCAATAGCATACAGGAACAAGAATTTTTATTGTTGTTTTTTTATTTATTTTTTTTAACTAATTTTCATCTGAAACAAATTTTTGTTCACCTTTCTGAAACACATTCTTTTTTCCATCTTAAATAATAACAATTATTTGAAGAAAAAAAAACGAGCCCAAAGAAAAGATGATTAGTTGGTGCCTTACATGTTCCAGTGAAAGATATGCGAGCTAGTAGAAACATATACATAGGTTGGTCCTCAAAATTTACAACTACCATCTTTTATGAAAGGTTTTGACTTTGTAATATATAGTGATAATATTTTTGGCTTTCTTTCGTGTTAGCATCAACTCAATTAAAAACATCGCACTGTTAGACTTCTAATAGGATATTTATTTAAGGCCTCGATACATCGGTTATTCATTGTTAACAAGATTAAAACAATCGATGGCCTCGTGTCAAACCAAAGACTTTAAAATTTGTATTTGCTGCTTTTCCGTTAAGTACGCAGTTCTTTTAAAAGTTAGAGGAAAAGGCATAGCTGTTTGACTCTAAGTTAGAATGTGGTGACATAACTTGCTGCGGACGGTTACCTTTGTGATCTAGCACTGTAGAAATTCGATTTAACAGGTTCATCTAGTACAAATCAGGATATATTCAGAGGATTGGTATTATTGTCATGAATATGCATTTGTCATAATATACAATTTTGTCTTTGGTAACTCAAATATTTACCAAACAATCAATTTTTTGGATGTATAAATACACATCCACGTTCATTTTCTATATAGAGATTGCTTTATCTATATATAACATTATACATATTTATAATAAGGTTGAATCCAAACTATCCTACTACCTGTCGATACTTTTATTTTTGCATTGCAGAAGTCATGTCACATAGTCTTCTTTGACTGTCTATGGCGTTAAAACACTAAATCCCTGGGATGTGTTTTAGTTGATTTTAGTCTCTGATGCATGATTGTTTATTATTAATTGTTTTTTGGCTTTTAACTAGCTTTCAGTGACTGCGAGTACTCTCAAATCGTACTTTCGTGTTAATATGACCTGTTACACAATTTGTATTGCATTTTTGTTATTCATTGTTTACTTATTTTGTGTTATATCTCGTCTCACTATTTTTAATATGTACCACCTTTGATAAGTATTTAGTATGACGATAGATTTTCACTGCTGTTCTCGTATTATGACAACAAATTTATTTATTTTGTAAAAAATATCTCCGTACTCCTAACAACAAAATTATTATATTTAAATTAACCTGTGTACGTTATTTTATTTAACGCCATTTTGTCCAAGGTTATAGTTGTCTTTTTGACATTGTGTCATAGATCTAATTTATTCGTTCAGTGTATGTTTACTTGTTTTTGTTAATATGTCTTTATGATTGAGTTAAGCCATTTCAATTGATATTTTATAGTGTGTTTTTCTATGTTGTAATGTTACACTACTATTTCAGGTTAGAGTAAAGGTTGGCGCCTGATAAAACATTTAAACTCGCTGCATTTGTTTGCGCCTGTCCTAAGTCAGGAACCTGTTTCAGTGGTTGTCGGTTGTTGATGTGGTTCTTAAGTGTTTTTCGTTTCTCGTTTTTTATATAGATTAGACCGTTGGTTTTCCTGTTTGAATTGTTTTACACTAGTCATTTTGGAGCTCTTCATAGCTTGCTGTTCGGTGAGAGCCATGGCTCCGTGTTGAAGGCCGTACTTTGACCTATACTTGTTTACTTTTTACACATTGTGACTTGGATGGAGAGTTGTCTCATTGGCACTCATACCACATCTTCTTATTTCTAATCAATCAATTAATAAATTTTAATTTTTTGACTAAGCGTACCAGTTAACACGATTTACTCTCGTATATATAATGCATCACGGAGCATGAGGCCTGACCGTCTTGGTCAGTCTGGTCCATTGTTTCATTTAGACTAGATGTTTTTTTTATAAAAAAAAAGTACGTTTATAAACCGTTGTGCCGTCGTTTGCATTTAAAACTGTTGGAAAGCAAATTGCGAAAGCAAACTTTGGAACACCCATCCATAATCGCGACTATATAGCAATGCTTTTATCTGGTTTTAACATACAATTTCATTCATGAAAAACTTCCTATCCAGAGTTCTATTTTACGACAACATGAGGTTTTATCAAGTGAAATATATACATAAATACTTTTTGTTTATTTTAGTGCATGTTTGAGAAATAGACAGCATATCTATGCGATTCGGAATAGCGGGATTGTTTCATTAGACCAACTGAAAAATGAAACAGCATTGATGCTTCAAATTCTTGATATAACGACGCAACCTGTATACCTGAGTTTACTCTTACTACTAAACATTTCGAAATACGACATATCTATATATATATATATATCAATGTAAATGTAAATATAGTTTATAGCTATCAGAACATTTCCACAAGGATTATAAAATGTTTTTAAATTAACTGTTTTCAAAATCCGTAAAATTGTGCGTCATTAAGGTAATAATATTATAGCAAGATGACATGATCCTTCATATATTATACTTATATGTCTGTTATTGTACGTCCAAAGTAGTCTTATTTAAAGGTCTATAGGTTGTATGTGAAAGAAGAAAGTTTATGTGTTATTTAGAGGAATCATTATTAAATATCAAAATAATATAATTTGTAGAAATATACTTGCTTAATTGAAATTTGAATCTAGAAACAATTGGTCCCACCTTCTAGATTTGATTATTAGGTTTGTACAATAAATTTTGGATTAATCCTCGGTGCCCTCTGCTTTTATTAGCAATGCATTTGATATTTTTATAAATTTGCAATTTTCATTTAAGTCAAAGTATATTCAATTGTGCGATATTTCGGATTTTAATGAAATGTTGTATATATTTAGAACTCGTTGAAATGCATTTGCCAATATAAAATAGAATTATGTATGTATAAAAATAACAAGATGTGGTATGATTACCAAGGAGACAACTCTCCACAAGAGACCAAAAGACACAGAAATTAACAACTGTAGGTCACCGTACGGCCTTCAACAATGACTAAAACCCATACCGCATAGTCAGCTATAAAAGGCCCCGAAATGACAAATGTAAAACAATTCAAACGAGAAAACTAACGGCCTGATTTATGTACAAAATAATGAACGAAAAACAAATATGATATACAGCAACAAACGACAACCACCGAATTACAGGCTCCTGACTTGGGACAGGCACATACAGAATGTGGCGGGGTTAAACTAGTTTGAAGGCGCGCCAATCCTCCTTGGACAGTGGTGTGACAGTGCAATATAAGAACAAACTATCAAAATCTGTTGAAAAGGGATTAACTCATCAGATCGATCCAAAGCAGAAATACAGCAAACAAAACCACAGACCGGACATGACAGGGTACTTATACACACAGACAACAAAAAGACACCAAGTACAGATCTGAGAGTACTCGCAGTTACTTACAAAGTTCAAAACCAATAACAACTAAAAACAAAAAAATCACATGCATCTAAGACTAAAATATCAATCAGTACACATCCAACATCCAATGGATTTTGTGTAAAGACGTCATTAATAGTCAGAGAAAAACATGACCCGGTGCAAAACCAAGATACAGGTGTCGACAGATTGTAGAGCGAAGAATGTGCATATGTATATAAAAATGACATTTAGTTTGATTTTAATTTACTGATAACAAAATCGATATTACATTTAATACCAATAAAAACATTATTCAAAGATCTAGTAGCATTTATACTTCAGAAATATAGCCACAAATTTGTGAAATAGGTCTATCAATGTATAGAATGTATGCAAGAAGCGGCGAAACGTATGCATTTTTTCATTTCAAATTGCGATTTCTCAAAACTCTTCACAGCAATTCGATTAAAAAGGAGACTCCGGGCCCAAAAGCCACTGCAAACAACCACAATATATGGGAAATGGTCTGTTTAGAATTCCATCCTCCTCCAAATGATCTTTTATTAAGTTGATACATAACCGTTTAAATCTAACTATAGGCAGACAGATGGAGGCAGCCTATTGCAATATTCACGCTGACGTTACAAGCTGTGGATACAACAAATGAAATCCTAATCAAAGTACTGAAGAACTGAACATCGGATGACCGCAAGTTCTTGTGGATGGTCAAAAGCACTTGTCTCAGAAAAAAAATCACATCTCTATACCTAAAACAAAGGTTAATGTACAGAGATATATTTTTTCTGAGACAAGTTCGTGCGTAGATGACGAATAAATGACAGGAAATTCAACCTCATCGTAATAACTATTATATTGTAGTGATACAAATCAGTATACTCTGGTTTGTTGTTATATATTATATTGATATAACAGTTACATGTATGTATAATTTTCATCCATTTGTATATCATTCTATTCTACTATTCTAATAATAGTGCAGTGCAAGTGCATGGTGGACACTCTTCTGTAAAAGTTCGATTTTTCTACTTTTTTTGAGTAGGCATTCATATTTTCCCGCAAAACCAATTGCCGCAAAACGTTCTTGAGATATTCTTCCGCATGCGTTAACACAATTTTTCGGTACGTGTGCATAGATATTATCAATGATTTTTTACTTATATATATATTTCTAACGACAAAACATTTTCATATTATTAATTTATGTTCTAAACAAAAATATTTTTATCAGTATTCATTGAAGAAATGAATTTATAACAAGTTGCTTTTAAAAAACAAAAGACAATACGTGAACCTTAGAACTTTTTTATTCTAATTATTAATTCAACTGAATAAGAAATTATATATCAGTGTTTGCATGGTTATGTGTGTGGAAGATAATATTTTCTTTTTATTGTAAATCATTACAATTTTGGCATGTTGAGAGAAGTGTTAGATATAAAGCAATGAGGAAAAAAAATATATTCCCAGACGTATAATTTCTTAAAGAATAATAATGATTCAAAACATGGGGGACACATGTACCTTCTTCCAAAAATTCATAAAATTAATCTAGAAATAAGTAATGAGGCATCGCGAACTGGTCAGCTAGCAGGACACATTAATGTTCGTTACCGACCAATCATCAATAAATGCAACTCTCCCGCGAGAGATACTTACTTGATCTAAATAAATTATAAAACCATTATTGAAGAGGCATAACTTTTACATTCAAGATAAAAAGATTCCACTAATAAAATAGAGTCACACGAGGTCAAAAAAGAATGCATTCTTATTGCCTATGATGTACGTCAAGGTACACAAATATGATCATTGATAATTGGGAAGAAACTGTTATCAATGCACTGGAATTAATTGACACACAGGAGAATATACTTTAAAGATTCTCAACAAAATAGATTTAACTGCATTTGATTAATTCTTAGAAACAATGAATTTGGGTTTAATGGACTGTTATACAAACACATTATAGGAGCGCCCATGGGTGGTATATTTTCACCAACATGCACAGATCTGCATCTGTCTGTCCTATTCATTAAAATCTTAGATAAGTTCCAATGGAGAGAAAACATCAAATTACACTGTCAATAGGGATGACGGTTTTATGGTCTTCACAGGCAAATTAGAGCAAGTTGAAGATTTCTTTAACATAGCAAACGAAATTGACCATGTACTTTAGTTCTAATATGAGGTGTCGACATCTAGTACTAGTATGACCTATTTAGAGGGTGGTAAAGGGTTATTTTCGTGCAACGTTTTCGGCCTTTTTATTTCACGTGATTTCGTGTTTCGACGTTTTATTTCTCGTTTTCTCGTGTTTGATTCGACGTGCGTGCTTCGTGTTTTCCCTTAATTATTTTCCGTGTTTCGTGTCGGTTCTCTTATTTTCTCGTGCTTGTCCCGCATTTGATTAAAAAGTAAACCGGGACTAATTCAAAGTCAGCCCAGATATTGTTTGAAATTATAAACTAAATAACTGGTCCCAAGATATTTATTAATAGCCTATTGTATTACTATGATAATTACACCTTATGTAAGAATCCTGGGTTTTGATAGGTTGATAGCCAGTGTATTTTTCACCAATTTACTTTTATCAAATGAATATCGTTCATTTTTAACAGCGCCGGGGTATATGCAAAAAGGATATGCCTTTCTTACCCTCTCTGCCGTGGTATTTGCCAAAAAATACTCTATCCGACTGGACGCTTGTAATGTTACGATCATCAATGCGTTTTGTACGTTAACATTCGGTGTAATTAAACAGATATAGCATGTTCTTGAGGGGTATTTGCGGAAAAATACCAGTCTTGAGAATGAATTTCCCTCGCCTTACAGCTCGCGAAATTTAACATTCTCTCGACTGGTATTTTTCGCAAATACCCCTCCTTAACATGATATATCTGTTCATAAATCGTATGCAACTAGAGGACGCTAAAAAGTGACCACATGCAGGTTCGCCATGTCAATTTATAATGACTGCATGATCTCCAAGAACGGCTGAGTAATAACTTTTGGTGCTTTTTTCCTAAATATTTACGATTTTATTCCTTGGCATCGTTTTTCCAGAGTGTTTTTTTCCGTGCAAAGTTTTTGCGATTTGCCACGGTTATTTAGATTTACTTTTAGTAGAGTACCAAGTATCGAGTTGTAAAAAGTGAGTATCGAGTTGTCAAAAGTGAGTATCGAGTAGCAAAAAGTGAGTATCGAGTTGTCAAAAGTGAGTATCGAGTTACAAAAAGTGAGTATAGAGTAGCAAAAAGTGAGTATCGAGTAACAAAAAGTAAGTATCAAGTAGCAAAACGTGAGTATCGAGTTATAAAAAGTGAATATCGATTAATAAAAAGTGAGTATCGAGTATCAAAAAGTGAGTATCGATTAATAAAAAGTGAGTATCGAGTATTAATTAATAACCAACAAAAACATTATTTGTAAACAGAATTGTTTTAACAAAAAAATATCCAATTTATTAATCGAATCATACTGTACAATTTACAACATATAGAGAGGGGTGCAGGTCTGATACTGTCGCATTGCGTGCTTCACACCAACTGGTCAACTGTAATTTTCTCGTCCTCTGAAGAAATATGAAGTAAGACCTTTGGTTCCATTGCATTTCTGTGCTGTAGTTGATTTAGACAAGGCTTAGAAATATGTAGATAAGGAATTAAACTGAGTTGATATATAACACATTTAATTTAATATAGTCAGGAGCCTTTTGCCTTTGTTATTCTTGTATGTTTTCATTTATATGTTTTGGAGTTTAGTGTGACGTCCATTTTCACTGAACTAGTACACATTTTGTTTAGGGGCCAGCTGAAGCCCGCCTCCGGGTGCAGGATTTTCTCGTTGTGTTGAAGACCCATTGGTGGCCTTCGGCTGTTCTTTGTCCTCTGGTCGGGTTGTTGCCTTTTTGACACATTCCCCATTTCCAGTCTCAAATTTAGGTAATGTTGCATTGACTTTAGCAGCGCAAAAACTCTTAAAACCTTGATCGTTTTGCAAATATCCAAAACAGCATACTTCCAAGTGAATAACAATTAAAAAAAATGTGAAAAGCAGAATAACAAAAATACCTTATTCCAAAGAAAATTCAAAACAGAAAATATATTCTTAAATGACTACACGTAATAAGTGTCCTTAAACTGTAAGAGGAAATCTTTTCACTGTTTAGCTCACCCTAGCCAAAGGCTGCTATGAGCTATTGCCAACACTTGGTTTCTGTCGTCCTCATTTGTAGTCCGTCGTTTGTTAATTTTTCATATTTTGATCTTCTTCTAGAGAACCACTAAACAGAATTTTACCAAATTTTCGAATATGTTTCTCTAATTGTCCTTTCTAGAGTGAGAGACCCATATTCGCCGCATAATTCGTTCATTTCCACTTACATCCGACCTACATTCGAATATTTGGAACTTTTTATGAAGGTTTCAGAAATTTAACTATATGAAAAAAATGTTTGATAAAGAAATTATCTTCAAAACATTGGTTAACTTTTCTAAAAACGAACGCAAACTCAAGAGGAAATCAAGTTGTTCGTGTACCATGGGGGACACATTTTCGCCGCAATGTATGATATGACCATCCTCATTATCCTGGTATATTATAAAAACGAATGTTTGCAATTACATGAATTAGCTTGAGAGATCATTCCTATACGATTTTTCTCACAAATATATACTTTAAGACTGCGCATGATCGCCATATAAATCTTACATAATTGCCAAAATCATTTAAAAACACCTGCGTATTTCTCAATATGTGCGAATAACCTTGGAAATGGGGAAAAGAGGAATATCAACAGTTGTAACATTACAAACAGCCTTTACCATCTATTCAGGCAAGTATTGGGTAAAGGCACACAAATTTTACAGAAAAAATAGCAAAACGGCGAAAATGTGTCCAAGGCGAATATGCGCCACCCACTCTAAGTGTTGATACTTTGTTGTTGATTGGTCAACAAACATGGCTGCCATGGTTGATTGTTAAGTACCAGGCTTTGTAAGAACAAGGCAATTTCACAACATGGCTTAAAAAAAACCTGCCAACCTAACCATCCTATTTTGAAGTTACTCTCATCCTGAGTTAGAAATGGTTGGTCTTTCTGTGTGTCTGTTAATAACTTTTGGTTAGAATTATAGCAAATTTCGGAGTTAGTTCCCCTTAATTATTAATTTCCAGTGCATTTTAACTTGATTA